GGGATTACAGGTGCCGTGCCACCACGCCCAGTCTCTGTCTCCCCCGGGGCTGGGCCAGCGCAGCAGGCTGGGGATTGAACCCTGGCCCCACCGGGATCTGCCTGAACAGGCGCTTTAGTCCTCTGAGCTATCTGGCCAACCCATTCTTTTAAAATTTTGAGATCTGGTCTTGTTAAATCGCTAAATTGCCTAGGTTTGAGTTGAATTTAGGATTCTCCTGTCTCAACCTCCTAGAGTGCTTGAATTATAGGCATGCACCACTATGCCCTGCCAAGTTTAATTCCATTCTCTTTTTCTGTTCTTTTAAGACAGTCACAATTTCAAGTGCAGATGGTCTTGAATTTACTGTATAGCCCATGCTGCCTCAAATTCTCCGCGATCCTCCCGCCTCAGTCTTCCAGAGGCTAGAATTACAAGCACGCGGACCACGCCCCACTGAAAGTTTCAATGTGTGTGTGCGTGTGATAGGGTATCACTGCAGCGCAGGCTGGCCTCCAATTTGTAGCGATCTGACTGCCCTCAGTCTCTTGAGTACTGGGATTACAGGCACGCGCCACGCCATGCGCAGCTTCAATTCTTTTAGGGTAACAAAATCTGCCACTCCCAGCAAAGTGTTAAATCTATAATGAATAAGGTGTGGGATACACAGCAAGATCTCATCCCATAAATTAATATTTTTCTAAAACTCGGTCTTCCTAACGCCGTACCGAGCACTGGGTAAAACCACCTGCAGCTGAGCCGAAGTTCAGGAGCCCTCGCATGCGCACTTCCATTTCGCCGAGCCTACGTGACAGGCCGTAGGGGAGTCATGGCGTCTGGCGAGGGCTGTACAAGCTCCGCCCACAAGGAATAGCGGAGGAGGTGAGCGTCAGACGCCGAGCTGACTGAGCGGCTCGGGACACGGCCTTTGGGCTGAGAAGCCCCGGAACTGCCACTCCCTCTCACTTCTGCGCTCTCCATTATGGAATATACAGTCGGCCCGCGAGAAACGGAAACCGCCCGTGCCCACCCGGGCAACTTCTGACAGGGCGTCTAAGACCCGCCCCACTTGCTCTGAGTGGTTCAGCGTTCGGGCACGCCTCCCTGTGAGGCGCTCACTGGCCTAAATAGAAGAGTGAGGGTGGGGCCGCAGCGGCCTCAGTGGGTTTCTTATTGGCCTAAGGGTGAGGCGCTGCCCATCTAAGCACTTTCATTGGCTGAGGTCGGCCTTTGGGGTGGGGCCGCTCCCGAGCAAAGACAACAAAGGGCGGCGGGCAGTGGGAGACCGGCAGCTGTGTGCGAGTTTCTTGGTGCTCCTCTCGGCTGAGGCGTTGTTGCCTCCCTCCCGCCCTGCTCCAGATGAAGTGTGAGCACTGCACGCGGAAGGTGGGCCAGGGCGGGGGCGGGGCGGGGCGAGGCGGGGCTGGGGCTGGAGCCCGGGCCGGGCCGAGGGTTGAGGACTGGGAGCGACGGGCGGCGCGGCCGGCGGGGTAAGGCGCGGGGGCGGGCGCTGCGTGGGCTGTGGGCGCTGCTCCTCAGCTGTGCCGCGTCCTCCTGCGCGCGCTTGGTCCTGCGTGGGCCGGGGCTGCAGGCGTGGCTTCCACCCTCCGGGCCTCACACGTCTGTAGTGACGAGGAAAACTTCTGAAATGGAAAGGGAAAAGCGGACCCTCGGGTCCCGCACCATCTGGCCCGCCTCACTGCCACGTTGTGAGAGAGGTGGATCGCAGCATGAATACTGCTGTATAACTTTGTGGGTATGGAGTACAGGGGATTGAACCGGGGGCCCTTGCACGGAACCACTTCACGTCCGCAGCTCTTTTTTTATCTTATTACAGGGTTTCATTAAGCTTCAGGGTGGTCCAGACTAGGCCCAAGTTTGCGATCACCCTGCCTCTGCCTCCCAGAGTGCTAGCATTACAGACGCATGCCGCTGCACCTGACTGTCACTTTGACTTTTGTTGTTTTTCATTTAACACTATATGGGAGAATTCCCGCATTCTAGTTCATGTTCTGTAGTAACTGCATCATCATATGCTAAAAGTCCCAGTGTCAGAGGAAGTCGCATGCTAGCCTGGTTGGGGAAGGCAGCAACACTTCTAGTTCCTCCTTACTGCGAAGGGTACTGGTGCAGGGGTGAACGCGTGCATACAGCTGCTTTTATTTCTGTAAAAAAGATTTCTGGGGGGGTCGGGGAGATGGCTCAGTGGAATAAGCGCTTCCCTGGCAAGCGGAAGGGCCTGAGTTCAATCCCCGGTTCCGCAAAAAAAAAAAAAAAAAAAATTTCTGGGCGTGAACTTAATACATATATACATTATGTTTTAAGCAAGAAGAATTAGGTTAAAAGTTTTTCTTTAATACTGTTCTCTTGCCTTTTTAAGGAATGTAGTAAAAAGACAAAAACCGACGACGAAGAGAATGTATCAGTTGATGCTTCGAGTCGGGCCCAGGATAATGGTGAGGCAAGTAGATTGTTCAATTTTATATCAGCGTAACGTAAGAGGCCGCTGCTGTTTTTGTTCTGTTTGGAGGCCCATGTCATGATGCATGGCATTACTGGAAGAAAGATTGAAGTACAGCCCAGTGTGGTGGCGCATACCTGTGATGCCAACTCTCAGGGAGGCTGAGGCAGGAGGATCACTATGTTCACAGACACTCTGGGCTACATAGTGAGTTCAAGGCTGGCTCAAACTCATAGCAAGATCCTGTCTCAAAAAAAAAAAAGTGAAGTATAATTGCAGGTGCTAAAAGCCACATGCAGGACCGTCCACCAGTACCCCGCAGCCTGTCTTCTCAACCACATTAAGCCAAAACTCCTCTTCAGGAACAAAAACATGGTGGTGTAATATTTAAGCCTCAAATATGTTGTGTGTTATGTATTTGTGTGTAAACTGGGAATTGAATCCAGAGGTGCTGTTTAACTGAGTTACATCCTAGCTATTTATTTATTTATTTATTTATTGAGACAGGGTCCCACTGTGTAGTTCAAGTCAGCTTTGAACTCACTATGTAGCCCAGGCTGGCCTTGAACTCAAAGCAGTCTTCCTGTTTCAACCTCCCAAATTTCTGGGATTGTAAGCATGTACCACCACTCCTGGCCCTTTATTTTTTGAGACAGGGTCTCACTCTGTTGCCCAGGCTAGCCTCAAATTTAAAATTTTCCTGCCTTAAAGTGGACATAGTGGAGGACACCTGTAATCCCAGCACTTGAGTAGGCCAGCCTGGACTACACAGGACAAATTTTTTTTAAAAAAATTTACACGTTAAAAAAAAGTTCTGCCTCAGCCTCCAGAAAAGCTAGGACTATAGGCATGTTTCACTGTGCTCAGCAAAATCTCAGATTGTTTGATGGAAACTTCTGTAAGATGGGAATTGAGATAGAACATCTGTAAATAACTTAAATTTCATGACTAAACTTTTTTTGTACTAAGAATTTAACTCAGGACCTCAAACTTGCCAGGCAGGCCCTGTGCCACTGAGCTAAATCCCCAGCCCTGAACTTTTTCTTTAAATGGCTTTTTCTGTTACTTAGTTCTTGCTTTTGAATTCTCCTTAGTCAGACGTGATAGCTTATGTTTATTTGATACATGCACTGAGCTGGGCTTTAGATGTGTTCTCATCTCATGTTCATGTGGGTGTTCTTTGTTGTTTTTTTTTTTTTTTTTT